AAATTTCCAATAAATAACACTACTTATTTTGAATATTTATAGATATATTTTTAAGTTTAAATATAAGTTATTAACTAAACTATAAATGCGTTTATAAGGTTTAGTTGCAATTAATGTATTCAGTTATCCAGGTCTTCCTCATCGAGTCGGGTCTTGACATCATCTGGTTTTGCGGCCAAAAGCACTTTTCCGCCCAAAACGGAGTCAATTTTGGAGGAAATCACACTCAGAGTGTACTCCATTCGGTCTACCCTTTTGGTCAGTTTACTCATATCGGGTCCACCGCCGCCGCCATACCGGTGCACACTTCGGCTACTCTCTGGGCGTTTGTTCTCATTCTCTGCCATCTCTTTCTCGATCTCATTCTTCTTGCCCTCCAAGTCGGCAAACATAGCCCTCAACTCTTGTTCATCGAGCTCTCTATTCTGATCTAGGTCGTACTTCGAGAACAACATCTCGATCTCCTGATCGCTCAGATCCCGTTCCTTTAGCTTCTGGCGAACGGCTGCGAAACTCACGTTTTTGGAGCCATCGAAACCGGAGTCCTAATCCATTCAAATGTGTTATCTATTTGTGATAATCAATGCATTTTTCAATCCATACTTTGATGGCCTGTTGTATGCCTTCGATCTGTTCCTTCTGAGCGCCCAATTTAGTCAACAATTGGTTGGAAATGCTCTTAAAGTAGTCCATAACCGCGAATTCGTTGGTGTCGTCACCGATCTCTGCCTTCACCTCCGCGTAAGTGTCGTTAATAATCGCCAAAAACATGTTCTTTAAGACAAAAATACATTGAATGGCAACCAATCAATAGATTAATATATTCAGACATACCATCAGAACGAAGAACACGAAAAATATATAGCTGAGGAAGAAGATGGGGCCCAACACTCGGTTGGCCGCCTCCAAGGCTTGGAAATCAAAGTCACCCAAAATCAGTCTCAAAAGAGTGAATCTTTAGCAAAATAATCATCAGAATTGAGTCAATCTTTAAAGTTGTGCCAAAAATAAGTGAATACATACACGGCTTTACCAAAACTGCTGTAGTCCTTGACTTGAGTACCAAACAAAAGATAACCCAATTGTGCGAAAGCAAAGAATACGATGAAAAACATGACACCAAAGCCGGCGATGTCTTTAGCGCACTATTGGTATAGGAAATGATAAGCAACTCATAAATTAGTTTATATACAAAAATAATAAGTGAAAATCAAATTGAAATCCATTTCGTACTCGACTGAGAGTAGAGCTGAGTTGAGACATAGTCTTATTAAAGCTGATATACTTGAAGAGCTTAATCCACGCCACGAACGACAGGACGGCCAGTATATTACTGAACTGCGCCGACCAGAAACCAAGTGTGTCGAACTGGTAGGTCTCGATCTGGAGTGCCAGCGACGAGCTATTCTGGAGGCTCTCGGTGTCCATACTCTCCATGGAGTCGCCGTTTGTCGTGTAGGCCTCGCTGAAGATCTTGTTGATGACATACTTGCGGTATATGAGGAAGAATACCAGCATTACTGATATAAGTATAGTGAAGATGTCGAGGAAGTTCCAGCCGGAGCTCTGAAAGTATGGCCAAAAGCCCAATGTCTTGATTTCGACCAATTCCTCGATTATATAGTAGGCAATGAAGACGACAAATAGCGTGAAGCATATGTATAGAGCTATGGGTGCGTCCGACGAGTTCTCCAGCAGATTAAGTGTACGGAACTGCCACGAAGTGATCAGACCTCCAGTGGCCGGGAACTCGGCGATCAGTTTTGTCACCACATATAGGTTTATGTTCGGGTTATAGGTCGTAAAGTCAATAAATATAGCTCTCGTTCCCCTATCAATCCACAAGTTTTTCTTCAGGTCCTTGATTTTGGCCAAAGCTTTGGTCTTGTTTAGGGTCAGGTCTACGATATACCCGCCCTCTCCTGAATACGTGCCCAAAATGCCTGTTAAATAATTAAATTGCAACAAATTTATTAAAATACCTAGCAAAATATTTAATAATTCTTAAAATACTGATCAGAATATCGGAAAGTAAATACAGACCCCAGACATCATTCTTGGCGAATGACTTAATCTCTCTCCACTGAAAACTGGTGTCATTCTTAGCGTTGGTGGTCTCCCTGTCCTCATAGGGCTGGGCGTAGAAGTTATAGCACGAGAAGATGGCTCTCTGGAAGTCCTTATGTACTTCACACGAGTCGTTCTTCACCTTCAATTGTCTCATTCGTGGCGAACCCAACAAATAGTTTTCATACAAAACTGAATTCTTGGTGACCAGTGTGTCGTTGTTATACCAACGTTCCCAATACAGGCCGTCCATGAGTGGCCCCTCAGCAAACTGAAGTCAAATACAGTATAAAGCATGAACGTTATAAGCATGGACATTTTATATTTTAATTAATTTCTTAAATATTGTCTGAATTTCAGACTTTGAATATTCAACATAAATAAGTTAACACATAAACTTACACTAAGTTTGTAAGTTATATGTTAGCGCTATTTTCTATAGCAATTTATCTTAGATCAATATTGTACAGTATAATTTAAATCATTTTTAGTATAATACTTTGATATAAAAGTTTAATCATGTAATTTTTCAATTGAAATCTGATTAACATTAAAATTTAAATAATTTTGAAGACTTACTTTCCAGAAGTCATCCATTTGTGAGGCTGTTCTGAATGTAACTCCACTGCTGTCAGCTCTGTCCAGGAACAGGTCACTCATGATCTTTGTCTGGTAGTACATCGTTGGGTTCATCATTGAAAACGTTACTAGACACATTCAAATTCATTTAGAAAACTTAGTCAACTAAATTGGTATGAATTAATAAGTGATATCTGTGTTAATAGCAAGTATAATTAAGAATTCTTACTATAGGTAATTGTGGTAAGGAATGCCACATAAATCAATAGTTCCCGAAGTGTTGTCTTAATAATACTGCCCTTATCTGCATCCTTGGGTAAGATCTGTTTGGTCAACCAAAACACTGGACACGTTCAAGAAAAATAATTTCATTATTTAGATATACAATATTCTCAAATAAATAAATGAATATTTCATTTTAAGCTATAAATACCTCCAAAAGTTTTTTGAAATCGATTCCAGAAGTTGTTTCCATCGATCATATCATCGGATGTGACCGAATAGACTTCGGGATCAAATTTGGAGTTCTTATTGTGTGGTTTGATGGACAGGGAGTTTTTATCGGTGCCCACGGACCAGATTGGGTTACTCATGGTTATGAACTACTTTTGAACTGGTATCAACTAAAAATTCTTAAGACTTCTTATGAGAAATCTTTTGTGTAGAGAAGTATTTGTAAAATAGAAACCAATTATAGTCCCAAATAACCTAAACACTTAATTCATAACACAATTACAACTTAATTAGATAGTGATGTCTATTAGCCGACTGATAGCCCAGTACTGATCCCTATATCTGCTAGCGCTCTCAATAAGTTAGTATAGAATTGCATAAAGAGTTGGTCTAACGGTTGGCTGAGTTTAGTACAGAATTTGATTGTTTTTTGTATTTTTTTGTTTGCCTTTCTGTGTATTAATTCTGTATATTAATGAAACACATTATCTATTTATTAATTATTTGTACACTATTTTAGTTGAAGTTTACTGCAAATATTGGGTAAACAATAGGCCGAGAGTTGTGTTGCTATGAGCGATATATGAATCAATTATTTATTCCCAAAAAATATGTATTTGTTTATCCAATCATTTCGAGTAATGATTTTTATCCGAAATAAAAATACATAATTTAAACCATATTTGACGCAATGCTTTCGTTTGAACTTATTTTGGTCTCAGTTTTGTCGGTGACATTGAAATACATTGTTTTAATTGCAATAAGAGTAACAAACGAGTATTTTTTATCCAAGTTTTTGGCAAAAAATGTTTTGACAATCTATANTATGGACTACTTTAAGAGCATTTCCAACCAATTGTTGACTAAATTGGGCGCTCAGAAGGAACAGATCGAAGGCATACAACAGGCCATCAAAGTATGGATTGAAAAATGCATTGATTATCACAAATAGATAACACATTTGAATGGATTAGGACTCCGGTTTCGATGGCTCCAAAAACGTGAGTTTCGCAGCCGTTCGCCAGAAGCTAAAGGAACGGGATCTGAGCGATCAGGAGATCGAGATGTTGTTCTCGAAGTACGACCTAGATCAGAATAGAGAGCTCGATGAACAAGAGTTGAGGGCTATGTTTGCCGACTTGGAGGGCAAGAAGAATGAGATCGAGAAAGAGATGGCAGAGAATGAGAACAAACGCCCAGAGAGTAGCCGAAGTGTGCACCGGTATGGCGGCGGCGGTGGACCCGATATGAGTAAACTGACCAAAAGGGTAGACCGAATGGAGTACACTCTGAGTGTGATTTCCTCCAAAATTGACTCCGTTTTGGGCGGAAAAGTGCTTTTGGCCGCAAAACCAGATGATGTCAAGACCCGACTCGATGAGGAAGACCTGGATAACTGAATACATTAATTGCAACTAAACCTTATAAACGCATTTATAGTTTAGTTAATAACTTATATTTAAACTTAAAAATATATCTATAAATATTCAAAATAAGTAGTGTTATTTATTGGAAATTTTAATATGTTTCAAGTGAGTAGTTATTAGTCAATGAATGTTTAGGAAGTAATGAATACAGTATACTAAGTATAAGGTTATATAAGGGTTAATCAAGTATTAATTTAAGTAATAAACTTATTAAGCAATTAGTATTGGCTACTATTTAAAATTGCTTTAAACTTATTAGTTGCAAAAGTCTATACTAAATGAAATTATAAAATATAATCAATTGCTATAAAACTTATGAAAACTCATATTATTTTTGTATATAAACTAATTTATGAGTTGCTTATCATTTCCTATACCAATAGTGCGCTAAAGACATCGCCGGCTTTGGTGTCATGTTTTTCATCGTATTCTTTGCTTTCGCACAATTGGGTTAAAATTATAAAATATAATCAATTGCTATAAAACTTATGAAAACTCATATCAGAAGCATAGAAGTGATAGAAAATAGACTAATTCTTTGACTGATAAAAAACACTTTTTTGTAAAGTTTTCACAATTAAATTAATATAAAATTAAGTGTATGTCTCGAATAATGAACAAAAGGTGATTTAAATATTAAATTGTATTTCTAAACATTTAATTATTTGTAAAACAAACTCCATTTAGAATACGAATGCTTTTTAGTATAAAATACTTTATTTAAAGAATATTCTTATAAATGAAACAAATGTTCAAATATTAATAAAATGTATCCATTTATTACTGCTTCTATTTATAGGTAACATTGTGTATAGTGTTTTAATAATTATAATAATATACTTAATTTCACCAAATAAACAACAACATAACCGTAATTTAAACTTGTATTTAATTACAAATAAAATACTTTATTCTAAAATAGTTTTTTTACTAGTCTATTCTTATTGATTATTTAATAGATTGAAGTTAATATTATTAAGATTAATTAATTAAAGTTAAATTTAAAGTTCTTGTTAGATTGTGTCCATCGGATCCATGTCTCAGACAATCATTGAATGAATAAATCAAAGATACAAAGGTATTGTATTTATTTTCTTATAGTTTTGTGTGAATTCTGTGAACATCTCGTGAACATTTTATAATTTAAAAGCTTATTTTAGCAAAGGGTGGTGGTGGGGAGTAGAGTGGTGTAGCGGTTAGAGTGCCTGCCTAACAATAGCTAAGTTAAGGTTAATCAATAGGAAGTGTATAGGGGGACATGAGATCGCGCCCCAAGCTGGGAAAAATTATTTTTTATTAAAAGTTTTAAAATTTTTTGAAATAATTTATAAATTAATTAATTTTATTATCAATACATAGAAAACACAATCAAATGTACATTAAATTCACGACAAAAACAATCTAAGACAAGATGATTCTTAGGCTTTCCCCTCTTAGGCTTCAAGGAATCAGAAGATCTGAGCGTCACTTCGGCGCGGGAGTCGGTCTGTGGTCTGGTCTTTGTGTTGAGTCTCGACCTCCCGGTGGCGCTCAACTCATCCCCCACTCTGTCGTCGCCTTTCTTTCTCGACACAAATATTATGATTCCGACGACTATTAAGACAATGATAACCATAATCACCACAATTATTACGATCCAAACGGTGAGACCATTGTCTCCTCTCTGAACCGGAACCACCGGTTCTGTGTCTGAATTGTTTGTACCGCTGAGGACTAGTGTGGGCACAGGTGCCGTGATTTGGAGACAATCGTCAGTCTTGTAGTGAAAGAACTCGCTTCTGATGTCGAGCTGTGAATACTTGACGGCCGACAGCTTACCACTCGAGTAGGCCTTCACCTCAAGCATCCAATAGAAGGGGCTCTGAAAGAGTAACAAATTGGTGTCATCGCCCTTCTCGGTCATGGCTTCCACTGTCGACTGGATCTGAAGGTCAGTGATATCGTTGGCCGGGTAGGCAACTCCTACCGCCGTAGCGTTAGTGCACTGATTCGTGATATCGACCACAAAGTATTTGTCTTTTTGAATGAGAACTATATTAGACTTCTTGTGGGCAAAGGCCGCGTCAATCCTCGAGTTCGCGTCCACTTTGGCCGCAGATATCACTTTGTCGGCCACGAAGTCAATGGCGGCGTCAGACC